GAGGGAGTTTGGGCGAAGGCGGGGGGGGCAGCCAGCTGCTCTGAGCTCTGGGGCTGCTCCCTGCTTGTGGGTCCAATGGGGTGCTCCGGGGGCCCGATTGAAAGACTTGCTAGGCCGGATACAGCCCCGGGGTCGTATCTGGTTTGCCCCTCCCATAGGGGCTCTGTGGCTGAAAAAGCTTGGGAAATCCGGATCCAGCTCAGGGCTACTCAACTTTGGAATCCTCGGGGGCCACAATGATACAGCACGTGCAGAGGGCCGCAACTTAAGTGTGGTTGCATATACATGCAAATAGCTTCTTTCACACTGATGGGCATGAATACAAAGATTAAGGCAGGACTACATAACATGCAAGCCCCATTTAAGTCAGCTGATATTAATAAAATGCAATATTTACCCTATTTCCAGCCATGTGACAGCACTTTTAATCAGCAATTGATCCTGTCATGAGTGTGGGGGGACTGGATGACATCTTGATGACATCTTGAGGTCCCTTCCAGTTCTATGATTCTCTGGGATTTTAAAGCACCTATTTTTTCTGGATATAAACTTAACCTTGAATCTGTTAGTGTTGGAAATATATTTAGTTAGAGATAGGACAAGCTACTGTATTAATCATTGCAGTATGTATGCTGTCCTGCCAAGAGTAGCCTGTGATGAACTTTCAATTTCTGACACCTCGTATGAGTATTGCCTAAGCAGTACTTGATTACGCTTTATGGCTGAGGCTACACCATTGTGCTGATAATTATTATTTATTGTTTGAAGTGTATTAACAGTGTTGTCTTTTTTTAGGTTGTTTGTTGCTCTGTTCAGTGCCATTTGAGGTGAGTCTGGACCGGTGATTCTTGGTAAAATGAGGCCCTGAGCTCAGCATGTTTCAGTTGGGCCAGCAAACCTCAAAAGGAGCCAGTGATGAGCTACTTTCATTTCTGACACCTCGTCTGAAAACTGTAGCTGCAGTATTTGATGATGCTCTCTTGCTGAGGCTCAGACTAGTTTTAAATCTTGTTGGGGCAATGATTGGAAAAGAGAAGCCTAAATTATGGGTTGGGGTTGTTGGTTTGCTATGTGTGTCTTTGTATTTACTGGTCGGAATTTAATGCTGTTTTCTGTCTGTAGGAATGAAATGGATTGAAGACGCTCACTTGCATTGTTGGCATCAAAAGGACTGTAAATCTCACTAATTCAAATTGGATTCACTTAAAGGTGCTTGCAATTAAGGATGGCAGGTATATTGTATATTTGAGATGTGACTATTAAAAAAGTGAAACCATTCACTGTTCTTTTAATGTGTTGGGCTTTTGCTTCACATACCATGCCAGCGATAAGTGGCAGAAGGCTTTTGGTGCTGCTCGGAACGTTCTTGGGTGCCAGTGTGTAAAATGCCATGATGTTCAGTACTGTTTCAAGGGCCAAAGGGCTTTGTTTACATATACAAATATAGCATATACGTTAAATAAAATGGGAACTTGAGGGGAACTGTGATATATATTGCTGTTGTTGGTTACAAGCCTGTGGTCTGGTACAAGAGCAGGAGAAGAACATGCTATTAAAGTGGCCTGGAGGAAAAAATAATTGTATCCGGAAGACTAATCTGCAAGCATTGTTCTTATCTTAATGGGGTGCGTTTCTTCTGTTGGACTTCCGTGCTAGCCTGTTCGCTATAGTGCATTGAGAAATTTCACATCAAAATTCCACTGTTGAAAAGACCAAACAGTTATTTAAACCCAGTCAGTTTGACAGTCCCCAGTGTTTGAAACTTTGCACTCGAGAGTAGGGTGAGCATTGAAAGACACAAGTGGATAGGCTGGCTGGAACAGATACATGGTGTTGATGTTTCTAGCCCCCAGAGAGGAGGTGCCAGGAGCACCAGGGTATTGTGGGAAAAGCCCCAAAGGTGCTGACTGGCTCTCACTGGCCACATTTGGGTCTGGCACTGTGGCTTAAAGCTTAATCTTTGTATTCATGCCTATCAGTGTGAAAGGAGATATTTGCATATATGTATTAGCAGGGCTCAACAAACTGCTGACTCTACTCATCACGGGCAAGTAGATATCAGCCGGTCTCTCCATGTGCCCCATTCACTGGCACTGCACACATGTGCAGTGCCGGTCTGGCGCATATGCGGTGCGGGGTTGGCGAGTAGCTCTTGCCAGCGTTTGTCAAGCCCTGTATATGCAACCACACTTGTTGCGGCCCTCAGCTAAGAGTATCATTGTGGCCTCCAGGGCTTCCAAAATTGAGTAGCCCTGCTCTAGAGCACCACAGCTGAAGAGTAGTGCAATCAAAAAATCAATAGTACAAAATACAAATGAGATTTGTCACTTATGTGGGGGCAGAGCTTTTCAACTTTATTCGCAGTAGGGGCCTCCATCCAGTCTGCATTATAGGGACAGGCAGAGGGTTAGTGTCTGCCATCTGTCACCTCACATTGAGAATGTGTATCAAATGCATGTTTGCCTATTGCTCTAGATGAGGCTATGCTAATGGTTTGTTTGCAGTAGGTGCATCTGAACCTGTGCTGAAAGCAGCTGAAGAGTTAAGTGTAGCTGAGATGAGAACGAATTGGTGAGGTAACTTAACAGCTGATGGTGTTGGTTTTTCTACTCAGCTAAGTGCTCTTTTTTAAGAAATCAAGATACCATTGCAAAGAGGTTCACTTAAAAAAATTTATTTAAGAGGAAAAGAACAAATGCTGTAAAACAAGAAATAGCAATTGATTAGTGCACATAACACTGAGTTGTTAGGGTTGTTTACAATTGAATGTACTAAGTAAATTCTTCGTCGCTTGGTGGCAGTAAAAGCCCATGTAAAAATAGATGCCAAGAACTTGTACAAGTCCCAGGAGGTGCTGCAATAGAGAAGTTAGTTTTGAGAAATAGACTCTTGAAGTCAAACAGCAGGTGGTTTTGAATCTGGTGCAGTGGAGCATTTTGTCAAATCTAGGATTCTCACCAGAAAACATCAGTTAATTTGATAGAGGTGGTTGTTTGACTAGCAAAAATGAACTAAGTAGTGTTTGCTTCAAAATGGGATTTAATGGGGTAGGAAGGCAGGAGAGCCCACTGGCATTGAAATTTTTTGCTGATTTATGGAAACGGGGGTTCTTTTCAGGTTAGCAAGGCTCATGCTTTGTTAAAATGGCAGCACTGTGCCAGAACTTTAAGTACGCTAGTGAGTTTTCCTGAGGGGTTTACAATTAGCCATCACTTTTTGGCATCTTCAGTGAATGAGGGTTTGCAATGGCTGCCTAGATGCTTCTCAGTATTGAGAAAATTCAGGTGCTGTGAACCACTGAAAAGCTGAATCTAACAGTTTCCAGTTATATTATAGTTGAATTCACTTAGGTACCTAAGGAAAGGCCCACGTTTTTTCACTAGTGGTGGGTTCAGTCAATTTCCAGTTAAGCGTTTCACACTACTACTAGACCTAAGGGCTACATCTAGACTGGCATGATTTTCCGCAAATGCTTTTAAAGGAAAAGTTTTCTGTTAAAAGCATTTGCGGAAAAGAGCGTCTAGATTGGTCCGTGCCAATCTAGACATGCTTTTGCGCAAAAAAGCACTGATCGCCATTTTCGCGATAGGGGCTTTTTTGTGCAAAACAAATCTGAGCTGTCTACACTGGCCCTTTTGCGCAAGAGGACTTTTGCCCGAACAGGAGCAGCATAGTATTTCCGCAAGAAGCACTGATTTCTTTCATGAGATCATCAGTGTTCTTGCGGAAATTCAAGCGGCCAGTGTAGACAGTTGGCAAGTTTTTCCGCAAAAGCAATTGCTTTTGCAGAAAAACTTGCCAGTCTAGACACAGCTAAAGGAGAGTAGAAGGCGCAGATCAGGAGTAGGAAGTTACCCAGAGGCAAATTTTGACCAGAGCTAGGTTATCACTGTACTGTCAGTTTGGGCAGTAAGTGATCTAATGTCCCCACGTTTTTCTACTAGGTCTACTCCTAGCCCTAGACAACTGCCTGAGAGTTCAGCAAACACATGGAACAGGTTGAATCTCTCTAGTCTGGCACTCTTGGGACTGGACTGGTGCCAAACCAGAGAAGCTCTTGAACCATGGGAGGTCAGTATTGTCTAGCAGCATTACCAACACTTCCACTCTTCATTGGTCTCTTAGAAGATATTTGGGGTAAATTAGAGCAGCCAGGACTGATGCCAGAAAATAAACCTTATGGGACTTTTGGAAACTTGGCCACACCTATTTTTAAGTGGACTTGTGGCTAACTAAAGTCTTGCCAGACCAGAGGACTAGAGAGGTTCAACCTGTAGTGACTTGGAATATTGGTACAGTCAGTAGCAGAAGTCAGTAATAGTGCCACTTATTCCCATTAATATTCAGTCAAGGTGGTTAAGTGCAGTCTAAGGGAATGAGGCTGGTTGGCTAGCTAAGAAAAAACTATTCAGCAGCTAGGTGTAGGGATGTCAATGTGTTGATGACTACCTGATTAACCAATCAGTCTGGGCTTCTCTGTTAATCTTCTATAAGATGCAGCAAGGGTTAGGAGCTGGCTTTAAGGTGGCTTTCCATGAGCACTGGACCCTCCCTTCCCCCTGGCTGCTTCTGATACATGTGAGGAGCCAGCTTTTAAGATGACTTTCTGCACATGCTGGCTCTGCAGACCTACCTACCTGCCTCCCCCTTGCTGCCTAACATGCAGTGAAGGAGGGAGGGGCAGAGGAGGCTGCTGCAAAGCAGCCTCTGTTCTTGGTGAGCCTGGGCTCACTGTGGACAGAAGCTGCTTTGCTGTAGTAGCCCCTGTTCTGGAGTGTGTCCAAGCTCCCTGTGGACAGAGGCTGCTCTGGCATCCCACAGAGCAGCCCCTGTCCATGGGATAGCTGAGTAGAAGCTGGTTTTTAAATAGTCTCCCCTCACAATCAGCTCCTACCTGCCAGCCTGTGCTTGCTGCCTCTGTATCAGAGGCAGCAGAGTGAGGTGGCACAGGTTCCCTAGGAGTAGCTGCTGGCCCTGCCCCAGGGACTATCAAATAATCCTGTAACTGCTAAAATTTGATGCGGTTACATGACTTCAGTTACACAATACCTAACATCCCCCTAGCTAGGTGGGCAGAAGGAGCTACTTAACAGCAAAAGGAGCACATTGTCCAGACTCATCTGTGTAATCTTCAATTCCCCCTCTGGCCTTGCTACTTCTTACAAGCTTGCAAAGAGTGAAAACAAATTGAATTGAAAGTTTTTTAAAGTAAAAGTAGATAGTTCTGTGGTCTGTAACATGTTGCTTATTGTAAACTCCATGGCTACCTTTATAAAGGTAGCCTTTTGTGAAGAAGCACTCTATGGTCTGAGTTTACTCACAATGGTTTCCCTAGAGAACAAGCAACTGCTGATCATCCAAGGGACATTAAATCCTCTTTGCACTGATTAAACAAATACCAATTAAAATATGCAAATGGTCAGCATCTTTTCTAAAAGCTGCTCTGCTTTTGGAGTGTGGCTTGTGATCTATCAACCTCAACTACGGACAGGAATCAGACAAGCTTGCTGAATCCACTGCAGGAGATGCATTTCACTCTTCCTGCAGGAGGGCACACTAGCTTCACAGATGACAGCTCAGAAGCATTGTTCAGATGATGCAGTTCACTGCATGCAAACTCTGGAGGCTGTCTATACTGCAGGCTTCTTGTGCAAGAACTGTTTTGTGCAAAAGGTCTTGTGCAAGAGCGTGTCCACAGACAAGCTTGCTGAATCCACTGCAGGAGATGCATTTCACTCTTCCTGCAGGAGGGCACACTAGCTTCACAGATGACAGCTCAGAAGCATTGTTCAGATGATGCAGTTCACTGCATGCAAACTCTGGAGGCTGTCTATACTGCAGGCTTCTTGTGCAAGAACTGTTTTGTGCAAAAGGTCTTGTGCAAGAGCGTGTCCACACTGCCATGTACTTTTGTGCAAGAGCATCCATGGCAGTGTGGACGCTCTCTTGCACAAGAAAGCTCTGGTGGCGTTTTAGCCATAGGGGTTTCTTGCACAAGAAACCCCTGTTACCCATCCACACTAACTTTTTGCGCAAGAGCTCTTGCACAAGAGGGCTTCTGTCTTGTGGGGAGAGGAATAACACTTGTGCAAGAAGCCCTCTGTTCTGATGCTTTACTGTAAATTTACTTGTGCAAGAATGCACATGCAGAGTAGATGTAGCCTGGCAGAGCAGCACCCTGTGTGCTTTCCAGTCACCTGCCTCTTGCAGTCAGTTACTTTCAGCAGAGAGCTGGGATTTATCAGCATCTCCCTCTTCAGGCCAAAACCACTGTCCTGTTATGTCAGCTAGAAGCTATCACAGGTATTTGCTGCACTGCTCTGAAGATTCTCATCAAAACATTGACACCTTTTTTGGTAAAAGGTTTTCACATTTTTAGTTTATGAAAATAAGCGAAAGCCTGAAGAAATAAATGGGAGACTTAAAACAAAATTCCCAGGAAAAAAGGCCATGTTTTAACTAGGTCTGGGTTGTAGTTTGTGAAGCTTCATTGTATTTGTGCTGCTACTAAATGCATCAGACTAACTTAACAGAGTATCTATACTTTTGAAGCTGTAATTCTTTGTACAAATACTCACTTTTAAAGCAATTTTCATGGGGGGAAAAGTGGCACTTTGAAGCCCTGAGCTCATTGCTTTAGAGATTGTGTGAATCCTGCATACCTTCAAACTCCAAGATCCCATTGGCAGCAGCAAGTTATAGGTGTGAAAGCAAGGCACAATCACATCTTAATCCAGTTCAGGTGAAAACAAGGAGCTGGATTTGATGAGCTAAGTGATCCTGTATTAGCTTGCAACCTGTGGGGTTTTTTCTGATTGTGAAATAAAATGAGGAGTTGGGTGGCACTTACATTTTAGGGTATGCCACTTGACTCCTTGTTTTTGCAGAAACAGACTAACACTGGTACCTCTCTGAAACCTGTGATAAACAGTTATTTTAAAGCAGTTCTGGGAAATACAGTCCAATAAACGCTGGTTGTTGTAAATATTAAATTTGCAACTATCTGCAGATAAAAATCCCCTTTTGGTAACAATGCGCCTCAACTCTCCCAAGCATCCAGATTCAGATTTGCATTTACAAATGCCTTAAAAATAACCCTGCTAAAAGACCGAGGGAAGATTCCAATGAACAACGCTAGCATCAGGCTCTTAACAAATCTGTACAGTTAAAATCTATAGCATTCTCATTGGTTTTCTTCAACTGAAAGCAAGATTTATCCCAAGAGAATTGTAAAGAAATCAAAGCGCTGCATTCTGAAAATGTTATCACCCACGTTAGGATAAGCTGCAATATGTTGGGACTTTCTACTTAGAATACTGGAAACAGCAATAATGGAACACAAAAGCCTTTATCAAACATGTAAACAGTTAGGGTTTCTCTGTACAACAGGTATGTTTGCAGCAGCTTACTCAAAACTGGACAGCTAAGCTTTGTCTTTTGCAGGGCAGAGCGTGAGATGCCTCAAGGAATGTATGTTACACATGGTAAAACTGACACATGAAACAAGGGAGAGACTACAAAAACGTTTGCCTTAAACTGCTTTTGAGTATTTATCTAGTTCAATAATACATATTGTGCCCTGGGTCAAAATACTTTCATAATTAATTCCAAGTGAGTAGGAAAAGAAAAATGGAATGGAGTGGGAAATTTCCTTCAGTCATATAATACTTAGCATTTCTATAGTGCTTTTCAAACAATCCTCACAGTGCCCTTTGTTGCTGGGTAAGTTATCTTCCCCCTGTTACTGGTGGGGAAACTGAGGCAAAAGGCAGTCAAGTGACTGGCCCAAGGCCACAACAAGAACAACTGTAGCCATCCTGATAAGAGGAGTTCCTGGTGCCTAGATGTGCATGCGGACCAGTGCCAAACTCCTCTCTCAACATGTTAGAGAAAGTCTGTTAAACTCAGGTCAGGATTAGCAACCATTAGTTCACAAGAACAGTCACGTTCACAGTGACTGATCTGGGACAGATGTTTTTTGTCCCGTGGAGGAACTTGAAATGTTACACCCAACCTAAAGTGATCACAGTGTGTAATTAACGAATACTACTACAATGGGGTGTTTGACAGCAGTGCCTGGAATGTCAGGGCTGCCACGAAGGAGCCTTTTCTTCTTTCACTCCGTGTCTCAGCTCACCTTGATGAGAACACACAGACAATGAACACACATGCACATACTGTCCACGAGGAGGGAGTGTGGCACATGAACACTTGGCATGAGTCTCTGCACAGCTGCCCTGGCTGCTGGAGCCTGCGCTTTAGGATCTACAGCATCCCGAGCCTCTGACTTCCTTCTTCACGTAATCATGGAGCTTGAATTTGGGCTCGTTGGGCAGCTTCATGGACCTGTGTTTCAGCTCCCTGCAGGAGAGACAGATACAAGGTTATCCCTTTGCCTGTAAAAGGAACCACTAGGAGCAAAACACAAGCAGGAAAACCCTTTACCAATGCCATCTTCAGCTGGACTAGGTTAGGTACTTCAGGGAAGCATGTGATTGAAGTTACACTCAAGTTAGGTTTCATATGTCAAGATAAACACGTTTAAGTGCTTTTCTAAATCAAAATCTTACATTCAAGGCAATGTAAAAAAGCTTTAGAATCAACTCATCTTACCCCTTAGACACAATTGGTACCACAAATTAATGGAGTCTGCTTTAATGGTTTTTAAAGGGCCAATTCTAAGAACTTCCCACTTATACAAAAGAAACAAGCACCGGAGGCTGGCTTAAAGAGGGTGCTGTGACTATTTCTGGGTGACAGGTGGGGGCTGATGCTGAAACCAGCTGACTCCTGCTGTACTGTGGAATGCTAAGATAGAGGACAGTGTGGTGGCAAGAGGGAAGATTTTTGGTCGCACTGTTTTGTGCCAGTTTGGATTGCCTTCCACCAGGAGAGGCATCAGTAGGCTAATTAACTTACTTTGCAATGGCTGTAAAGGCCAAGTCGACATTCAAGCCGCTTTTTGCGCTGGTCTCCATAAAGGGCACTCCATATTCCTGCAAGACAAGGTATGCATCAATAGGAGACCCATTAATCATGGAGGAATCTCGGTTCAACCCATCCAGGAGCCGGAATGGGCCATGGGTTCATGCTGTCTGCTTGGTACAAGAGAGCCCATCTCCAGACCGAGCTGCTAACATACCCACCTGACTCCCACTGGTCAAAGTGACAAAGGCTTGGGGACCTGATGCTGCCAAAGAGGGTTCTTGAAGCAGATGTGATATTTAGGGGAGTGTGAGCAGTGAGAAGGAGCTGGGGAAGTGCAAGGAGAGGCAGAGCAAGGCAGAAAAGAAACAAGAAATGAAAAAGCCAAGCAATCTGAGGCAACATCATGCGGGGTTCCTTCTCACTACAGATTGACCTCAGCATGAACTCTGCAGCACTAGGGGCTCATTATTTAGTTAATCTAGCCTCCCAACTTAGCAGTAAATGCCACTTTCCCAAGCAAATCTGCAGCACAAGCTATTTTATCTGGGAAAAGCACATACCTTGGCTAATTTCTCTCCATCTTCCCGTTTTACCACTCTGTCCTGGGTCGAGTCCACCTAGCAGCGATAACAAAGAGTAGTTTGCAACAGATCAGAGCAATGTCAGACAAAACTGTGGAGTACAGGCTGATGCTGACATGAATGGTATAGTCATTCACCATTCTCCCCTCCCCAGTTTTACCAGTCAATTACACTTCATTTATCAGAGCTGAGCTAAATGAGGAGGCATCTTTTCTCCTAGATGTGCTGGCAGTGGGTGAGCACAAGGAGAGATAAGGCTGCATTTTCTGTGCCATTTGTTGCTCTGTGAATAAGGGTATATGGGCTAATACTCAGAGCAAGCGAGAACTGGGACTTGGGTTCCATCTATAGCTGTCATTAACTTGAGCTTGATTAAACCCTCTTAGCCATTCAGTTTCCCACTACTTCCATGGGTAGCCAGCGGGATGCGAAACATCACTAACTTCTGCCTGATGAATGCCTTGAGATCCTTAAATGAAGGCTCAATAGGTGGGCAGGGTTGATATATTAGCCCACACAGGTTCTCTATTGCCTCTCTTGCTGGTGATTTCTTGCAAGACTAGTATTTTCGAGTCGGAGAACCGTAGACTGAATCCAGAACACACCTGGTTTCAGTTCGAGAGAGAGATTAAAGCCACACTTATGCAAGGAGAGTCTCCTGCCATGAATGGATGGAGTTGCAGGGCTGCCCTAAACAGAGTCAACAGGCAACAAGCACATATCTGATGTTCTGCAATCAAACCCAGGTCAACCACTCAGTCACTGTTCTCTGGATAAAGGAGTCATGAGTGGGGGCTAGTGGAGCAGAGCTATGTACCCTTAGGGTGTGGAAGAGCAGGCGGAGTGGAAATTAAATTGAACAATTCCAGACAGGCTCTCCAAAGTGATCACTTCAAAGATGTTCCTACTGCCACCCAGGAATGAACAAGAGAACCACTGGTCTATGAATACCACAGCATAACCATGCAGATTCCAGTCAGACTCATCCCACACCTGACAATGCAATAAACAAAAAGTGTTTGTAATACGCCTAGGTCAGCAGAAACAGCCAGTCCTGCGTCAGAGTTGGCCGCTGGTTCCCAGCTGCAGTCCCCTCCCCGGTAACAGGAAACAGAAAGGCTAAGGCGGGATTGGTAGGTGAGGCAATCTGGCTGAAAACAAGAGGGATTCTTTTCATTCCAGAAGCTTTACTTGCAATTCACTATTCCTGGGAGGGATTCTATAATGTTCTTGCAAATCAGCTGTTAGGGTACAAAGAAGAGCTCAGGCTGATTGGAGACAAAATTGAAGTCTGGCAGCAGAGAAGAATATGACAAGCGTGCATGACTTTGGCTAGCACAGTTCCCTCTCGAACCCATGGAAATAAGGCCAGGGCTGCTAGAGAAATGCCAAGCTGCTTGCATCCAGAGGGCACCTGGCCTTGCTGGGAGCTGCCCAGGTTGAGGATGTCTTCAGCTGGGATCTATGTTAGCTCATGTGAACTGGTTTCAGCCCAATGACTCCTGGCCACCCAACTAAGGTATTCTGGTGTTTAGCACTAAGGAGAAAGAAGGTGGGGGCCTGTCCATCTAGATCTCTGCTTCTTAGGGGGGAAAGCAAGTGCTGAGACCACCCTCAAAGATGCATGATCATTGCAAGATCTCCACAGGCAGGGATTGACGTACTTCCAGACTCTTCCGGACACCTCTTCGCTCTTCCCACCAAAGGGAAGAAACTCTCCCCCATGCATGTCAGTAAAGCAGATCTCCAGACAGGCCTGTGTGTTCCATGCTGACTGCGGGGGGCATGTTCCTCTGGAGACTGCTGATAGTGACTACTACCTAGTGACCCAAACTCTGGCCAAGTAAGAACTCACTGGCTCGGCCTGGGCTGCACTTAGGAAAGAGGATATCTATTGTGGTCTTTGGATACGTGAAAGGCTGCCATAAAAAGGAGAGAGAAACGTTCTCTTTTGCCACAGTGGGCAGGACAAAGGGCAATGGGTTCAAACTTCAGCACAGCAGACCTAGATTAAACCTTAAGAAAAGCTCCCCAACTACAAGATCAGTAGGAGAATGGAACTGAGACCTCGGGCAATTGTGGAAGCTCCTTCATGGGAGGTTTTCAGAAGGAGGCTGGAGAGTCGTCTGTCTTGGAGGGTTTAGGCACAACAAATCTTGGGAGGAGGTCAGATGGCTCCCTTCAGACCTGAAGGTTCTGTGCATCTAGGAGTCTAAACTTAGGTCAAATAGCTACATTGCTCAAGGCAGTGAAGAATTTTGTGCCCTGTGAAATGTCATGAGGTCAGGCTCACCTACTGTAGATGCAAATCAATGGAAGAATTCTTCCACTGACATAGCTACCCGCCTCTTGGGGAGGGAGTGGATTTATTACAATGATGAAGCCACCCGTCACTGAAGTAAGGTCCTGCACCACAGTGGCATATAGGGGCTTGCAGCTCACATTCCTCCCAGCTGAAGCCAGCAAAATCTGCAAGCGGAGTGGGCCCAATATCTGCAAGGTGCCTTAGAGCAAAGACGTGATAGATCCCCAAAGCAGCCCTAACTCTTGTGCTGACATCAGGCAATGATGTAACAAAGCAAAGAAACGGGGGAAGTATTACAAATCTTGGTTCTCCAAACTGTCTGAGGCAGAGGAGCAGGGCTCTGCTTACTTGCCTTGAGATGGAATGGATAGACCTCCCCAGACACAGGGCCCAACCCACCTCCATGTCAGTACCAGGGGATCTCACCCATCCTAGGGTCACTCTCATAGCTGGTCAGTTGGATACTCCGAAAAGGAGTCCAGATAGTTTGTAAGGGTCAGGGAATTGAGCAGCTAACATTACAGCACATCGTGGGCAGGGCACTGCCAGTCTCTGCCCCCCATAGCCTAATTCTCCTGACTGCATTTACAAAGAGCTTTACTGACGGTCCCACAGCACCAGAAGCTTCCAGGGGAGATTCCCCAGCTTTAAAGGATGCCTGTGTCAGGGAGTGTAAGGAAGCAAAGCAGATTTCCTGCCCAATCATGATGGGGGCATGCCCAGGCTCCTAAGGGCCCCCAAGATTTCATGCCAGTGTGAGGCTTTGAACCCATATCTGCAGATGGCAAATGCCTGCTATGGCCTCCTCATAGGCCCAGGGTGTGCTGGATCAATCTTGCAGCAAGAGCGTGTGACTGCTCAGAAACTCACCTGGCTCGTGGCCGGACCCAAACTCACCTTATTTCCCAGCAGCATGAGGACCGCATCTTGCTGTGCATATTCATGAATCTCGGACAGCCATGCCTAGGAAGGAAACAACAGAGGCTGCACAACCTGGCCAGAGAGAGTTCTAGACGGAGGAACTCTGAGAGGGAGCAGGATCACAAATCTACCCCCTTCTCAGGCTTCCCAACTGGGGGATATGCCCAGCCCTGGGGGTGAGAGATGTCTGTTCCATTCACTTTGTGTGCACATCGTAGCTGACGACCGTGTTTTGGGTCTATACACATAATTGTGGCCTTTCCTCCAAGATCAAATTCAGTAGCCCTTTAATGTCTCATTGAGGGACCTGCAGAGAGAAACACAATCCTCCAGGGCGCATGGATTTCCTATAACCATGAAGAGCCAGGCTATACAACCTGCTAGAAGAAGAGTGGGTAAATCTCATCTCCACCCCCTTCCCCGGGGTGCAATTCAACCCCATAGAGTGTAGCCCTTTCCCCCCTCCACCTGGACTGCAGCTTCTGGTTGAAAGGGGCTGGACAGCTGGGTGACTAATTAAATCTTGACAGGAAAAAAGACCAGTTTCTGTCTGCAAGGCTGTGTAGGAACAAGAGCACATTGCTGTTGTTCAGAGAGCAGCTCTTTGACTGCAGCCACCTCAGCATTAACGAGAGGCACCCCCTGCTGGACCCCTCATTAAGGCTCAGCATACTTCCCCTGTAGGGGCAGTGGGAGGATGTCGAAGAAGAATTCCCATCAGTAACCCACGGAGGCGGCGACTAAGGATTGGTTTCCTTAAGAGGTGAAATTATCAGAACTGGATTCCAAATGCCTCCACTCAGGGGATTCCGCAGGGGAAAATGGCAAAGCTTATACAACCACCTGCAATGCAGCCAGCGCCCCGGTATGGGTACAGCCCAAGGAGCAGCTCCTCTCTCTTACCGGTTTGGAGGGCAGCCATCATCCTCTCCTCCTCTGCATGCTGACTAGATAAGACAACAGCAAGAGGGGCACGGGACTGGAACTAGAGGGGCTGACCCCTCCCCCCCAGCTTGAAGTAGGAACAACCCAAACACACGGCTTCCGCCTTCAGCACCCCCCATCATACACATTGTTCCAGCACCTCTGGGAGTGGGTCTCGTGCAAAGCACATTCAATTTCAGGCACTCCCATGTGCTGCCTCTGCCAGTGTAACCTATATGCAGGGACAACGGGTGTGTGTAAGGAGGGCCACTTAAAGGGGCAAGGAGGGGGCACCCCATTTAGCAATTAAAATTTTGGTGGAGTCGGTGCACCTCTCAAGTGCTACTACGAGTACCAATGCCTCCATGTCAGACCAAAGAACTGAGAAAGGGCATTTGCTGTCCCGTACAAACGTCACCCTCATCCCCATTGTATCTGACTTGCCCAAGGACACGCCCGGCCAGGAACAGAACCCAGGAGTGCTGACTCACAATCTTGGTGCTGACCATACTGTTGTCGAGTTCATGTGCCAAACCCTGGCTTGCAGACCAGCATCTGCTTTTGATACTGACTGTTGCTCAGAGAATCACTTTTACTGACTTCAGTTCAGGCCACTGACTTCAGTTCAGACTTTGCACCCAAGACAACAGCTTTTCTGACCCTGCTTCTGATGTAGTCTGACAACAGTCACTCAGAATTAGGGACCCCTGTAGCTCCTCTAAAACAAAATTGATCAATTTCTATCTTGATGGCCATTTGAGCCACATGCTTATTCCCCGTGCTGCTCTTCCTGTGCTTCCTCTGAAGACCAAAATTAACATCTCTCATCCATGAATGCAGCTTTGTTAGAAAAAAAAATTCACCATCCAAATCAGAAAAAAAGATCTCAAGGCCTCTAATTTTCCTGCAGACCTTAATTTCAGATCTCGTTTAAAACGGGTCTTCGAGGCTGTGCTTCAGTAAGTGATTCTTTCCAGCCGGTGCCTATTACTCTCCAATACAGCCCAGAGACGGCGGGAGCATCAACACATTATTATTAGCTCTGCACTGGCTGATACAGCTCTTTCGGAAATGCATTTGCTACACTGTTGTTTAAAATCCCCGACATGCTTAATAGCCTGTCCCAGAGGCCCTTGCTGGGTAAATTCAATAATCAGGTTTTATCTCACTTCACACTGAAGGTCTGGGCTGGAATTAAAGTTCCTTGTCCTCCAAGAAGGGGCCTTTAATCGGATTTTTTTCTTTTCCTTGAGGGGTTGGCGTTTTGACCATCTCGACTTATCAGTTCTACATTGCCTGGCTTTCCAGTTCCGAGTCCAGCCCCAGATGGTTCTCTGACGGCATGAGAGGCCAGCAGGGCCTTAGAAAATACCACCACCGCTCCTGTCCATGGGGCTGGAGCTTCATCCCTCCGCAGATGACCAAGAGCAGAATTGATTAACAGGAGGTGGTTCTGTTCTCATGGCTGGAGAGAGAGTGCCAGGTGCTCTCCATTCAGAATGCCGCCCGCCCCGCCCCCCCCCCCTTAAGACTGTTGCACCACTGCCAACACTGTACACTCAGGTCTAGTGCACATGCTGCCAGCAGATACGGCTCACACTGTGGCCTGGCAGGACATCAAGCAGCAGCTAAGCACATCCAGGATCAAGCCCCCTGAATGGACCAGATCCCCTATGCACCACTTCTCTCTGAAAGTGGTTGGAACCATTAACCCCCGTGTTATGTAGAGCAGCCCCCTACAGCACAGGAGCTGCGAGCTCCGTTTTGGTTTTGGGAACCCCATGCTGTATGTCCGCTTCTGTTCCCAGTGTCACCCTTCGAGGACGCGGTGCTGTTGTACTGTGCTGGTCCCAGAGATAAAGTGGGAAAAGTGTTTGTTTGTTTTTTTTTTAATTGGCCCAACTTCTGGTGATGAGATACAAATTTCCACGCTACATGGAGCTCCTCCGCAGGGCTGGGAAAGATGCCCCCGGCGTCACAGCTGTAGGCAAGGGGGAGCAGGGTGTATAACATGAGGAGCTAACACATTGGCTCTCTTGTAGAATATAGGAAATAGCGGGGGGGGGGGGGGGGTCTGCAGCAGTGGGGTTCCCTACCTGCAGTGAAGCGATGGATCCCACGCATAGCTCTAGTCTGGCACCCGCCCACTTTGCTTCATGGCTGGCACAAGCAGAGCAGTCAGTGCTGGCTGTGGCAGCGATGGCATTTGTGATGAGAAAATCAGTCTGTGCTTGGCTATCCAACTCATCAGGGCTGTCTGGCTGGAGCCGCTATCAGTGACCTGCTCCCAGCCAGTGAGGGCAACTTCCAGGGGAGACCCTTTTGTTTCCAGTTCCTAAGCCAGCCAGTCCCATGTATTTCATGGTATTAAGGTCGAGCGGTGGCAGACTCCCCCCACATGAACTCAAGTCACTTTCAGGACCCCAATCTGATTAGGAAATAGCACGTCACACCCCTCATTTTACTTTTCATCGTTTGTACTAGTGAGCCCTGGATACATTTTGCAACCAGGTCCCACTTCTGCAGACTGCCCCATTCAGCAAAGCACGTAACTGTGTCCTTATATTGCATTGAAGTCAGTGGATGTGAGCATTTGATGAATGGGAGCCTGGACTGGGGCCTGAAGACCAGTCTCATCAGTTTCACTCATTCTCCTGTTCGCAGCAGGCTGGGGTTGGATTCCCAGCACTGCTGGAGAAGATTTCAACCCCCAAATTAGAGTCCACATGACAGTCAGATTTAACAAAGAAAAAAAAAATCACAAAAACGCTCCAGTGTCTAGGAGGCCATTAAAGAGATTTAAAAGATTATGTAAATCTTAGGCCCTAGACCACCTCATCCATATTCCAGGGAACATCAACCTCGTTACAGTAACGGATCATTAAGGATATAGCATAACAAGGGGCTGAACAGCAGGACCTACTTACCCGCTGAATTCAGTGAGAGCATTCGGGCGAGTCAAGTTACTTGTGTGCACATAGCAGCAAGATCCAGGCCATCCTGAGAAAACTTTTGAAATGGGACGTTTGTCCAAAACGGGTCAGATTATTCTGTACAGAAATAGGCCAGGGAATTCTCAATGTGGGTCATATGCTGCTGTTGCTGGCCTCAGCATACCGTGATTTTCTCGGTGAATTTGTCCTGGCTGCCTTGTAGTACAGCTGTTCTGCCAAATGCCCCATCGATAATTCAATCTGATCTCGTATGGTGAACCCAGGTTGTCAAACAAGATAGAGAGCGGCTCTCTGTTGGCTCCGTATAATTGACCGGATTGACCGTACAGTTCACATCTTCCATGGTAACAGGCTGTGATCCTCTCTTGCTAACACTTTATAGCACAATGCTCTCCGTCCTCTCTAACAATGCCCATTTCAGGGATGTCTCTGCAGTCCGTCATTCACGTCTGCAGTCCGATTCCCTGTCTGTTAAACATACAAGTCAGGGGTTTTGGCCTGAGGAACACAACATAGCCACTTCCCTGTTTGTGCTAAAGACAGTGCTCTTGTTTACTGACTTACCTGAGCAGAGCAAGCAGATGTGACCCTGCCCTTCCCAAGCGCATACACCTGCTCGGTGCACTGGCTGCAAAGGCAAGCCACAGGGTTGGTGCATTTGGGGGTGATCCCATCACACAGCAGCTCAGAGCTGGTGCCACCTGGGAGCTACTGGCTGAGCAGCAGCAGGTGGTGTGCAGTGTGGGTAGGATGTTCCAAGAATGCTTAGTCCAGGCTAAGAGCGAGAGACACCCTGCAGAGTGATACTAAACCACACAGGGTCTGTCAGTTTTGGAGCCAGAGACAATCAGAGCATTTGCCTGTGTCCAGCAGCCTCGATGCGTCTGTCCATTCCTACCAAGCAAAACCTGAGTGTAGTCCTGTTAGAGACGCCAGCCCGCAGCTGCAGGGAAGAGGAGCTGTGGCTTTCATATTGCAGACGCTGCTGCGCCCTCTCACCCCTGACACACAGAAGCTGTCCCCGAGCCCGACATGCCGTCACTTTTATGGCTAGAATTTCAGAGGTTTTTTGAAACTCCGTCAAACCCTTTCCTTGCTGGGCTGTGGAGAGTTCGCATTTGAAATGATTTTCAAAAAGGCCTTTGATGGCTCCCTCCTTCCCCC